AAGTATGTTCGCAAGTGTGTTAAGTCATGATTTAGTGTTTTTTGTTTGCAAGTGTTTTTGTTGTTGTTAAGAGTGATTTGAAAGCGCAAAAGTGATTTGAAAGTGTGCATAAACCACTTGAAGGGCTGGTTGCTTTTTTCAAAACAAGTTTTGTATTGACTGTATTTTCAATTCTTTATGCTGTTGTGTGTGACTTTCAGACGTTGAAGTAGTTGTGTGTGTGTAAATAAAGCTTGGGTTGGCGAGGGGACTGTGAATTAAGAAAATTTTGGGAATAATATTTCGTTATGCAAATTGTGCAAGAAAAATCTCAAAGTATATATATATATATGTATCCATTTATAAACTAAAAATAACAGTTTATTTATTTGTTCAATGCAAGTGATATTCCAAAATAAAATCAAAGTTTTATTTTTATATTTTTTTCGAATGGAAATCATCATCACCTAACAGCTTGTTAATTGGTAAAAATGGTTGTTCAATAAGGAATTTGAAATTGGTTTTTGAATGGGATCCATGTCAATGCCACTATGGCAAGCAAATTTTTCAGAAGGAGTATATATTTTTCCCTTGAAAACCATAGCTTCCTAACCAGCAATGAAAAATTGTTATCATCATATAAATATTTATATTCATTTTCCTTGGGTGTATTTTTTTACATGAGTGATAATTCGCCTTCAGACGAATGTTTTTGGCTACCCAGAGGATATATGGTCTAAGACCGGAAGTCGTGAACTGCTTTAGCCGTATGTAAAAGAATCGTTTCTGGTCACTCCTAAGTGAATGGCGCTCATAGAACTTTCCTCACTGGTGTGAACTTCTACACATAGCTCCAACCTTCATATAACCGCGTAAGCGGCGTCTACACAAATAAAGAATCATATGCGGAAATTCAGATAGGATAAATTTTGCACAAAAAAGTTTCTCCATACTAATTAAGAATTTTTTGTAATATTTGTTCTCAAATCTTGGCTCTAAGGATATTATTTTTGCAAATTCGCTTCGTAGAGCTTTCAGTAAATGGAGAAGTCATTCAAACATACGAGTATATGCTATTATTTCATAGCTCCCTAGACATTATTTGTAGACCACATCACGCTTTTCTTCGTTAGATCAACGATCCTGATCACAACGTTTGCTAGTTGGCTCGAAAGAGCTGGTACCTAATAAAAGTAAACACTCGGTCTTATTGGCAAAAAACTGGAACAGTCGCAAATCAAGATACTACTCTTATCAAATTTATTCCCCATAGACATGAACAGGCAGTGACCATCTGAATTTGTTGAAATAAGTTTGATCGTAGGGGAGGAGATGATTCCACAAAACACACAGCAAACTTTGCCTACAGCCAATCCTGCCATATTGCGTTAGCTCGTGTGGCACCCATACATTTGACTTCTTCATATACTATATATATGTATTTAGTGATTCAAAACGATTTTTGTGTCATGTCAAGCTGCTGGGCAATCGAAACTTACCATATATACCGAGCGGACTCGACGTTTTAAATGGATATGGAAATTACGAAATCTTATCTTCTAATGCCATATTGCCTAACTCGATTTCTGAGAGAAATGAGAGGTACAGACTGTAAAAGCCATCTATTGAAAATTTAAAGTATTTGCTATTGCATGACGTAATATAAACGATAATATACATATGTTAATGGGTTATATGGGTTTCCTCGGGTAAAAAAATCCTTTTTCAATCATTTTTTTCACATATAAAAAATTAAATATTTTTTTCGAAATTTTATTGTTACAAGCATACACTACTAACAAAGAAACTCTGAAATTTTTGGAAAAAAATATTTTTAACTCGACTATTGCGACGCCATTTCCTCTGACCGCTAGGCAAAAAGATGCCCCCGCGTTGTTAGGATAAATTCTTACAGAATCATCTAAAGTGAAAAAAATACGTGTTTTATTTAAAACGTTAATGTTAATTTAAAACTTTAGAACTTGGACGATGAAAAAACACTGAAAATAAGTTTAGTAGTTCTCGATAAATCTTGCCAATCGACTTCAAATACACAGTTTAGAGAAGAACGCGTTAAAAACTTATCTAGCCTCGCACAAGTTCTCAAGATCGATACTATTACTCGGGTCAACTTGAAAATTTAGGACAATATTCTAGAGGTGTTAATAAGGCAGTGAAAATGTCGATTTTTTAAAACCCGTAAACCCATGCAACCACTTAGTATTTAAACTCATGTCCTCGGCTAATTCTAGGTTTAGTTTATCATTGCGAGAAAGTGCATGATAAAAAAACATAATTCCGAGTATTTTTTTTTGTTTTTTGTTTTGTTTTAAGTTGACCGGATACAAAAAACTATTATGTACTATAGGCTCGGTACGGTCTTGAAATAATTATACGGAAATGTAAGGGTTTTTTTTTTTATTCTTATTTCTTTTCCTACATATAAACAGCAAAAATCAGCTCGAAATTTATTGAAACAAATAATAGAGGAGTAAAATAATAAATGTCTGTCATCAGTAGTCTAATGTCTAAAGATTTTATCAACTCACATGCCAAAATTGATTTTATTCTCAATATCAACGGAATATTCATATACTCTGTTACTTATTGCTACAATGTTTTTATGTTTCCCAAAAATAAAGAAAGTCCTCTTTTATTGATTGAAAAAATAATAAAAAAAAATAAACATAAACCACAAATAAAATGTACCATATCGCATCAAAAGCAAAGTGACTGTGCTGACTCAATGTTGATGTGATGCTGATGAGAAATGAAGTGTCGCCACTTCCCTTGAGACAGTTTCTTTTTTTATGCTTGTAGCCGAGAAACGCGCGGTGCTGGTGATGCCTCTGGTGGCAGCCACCTTCACCGCGTTCGTTCACTTACAGGTGGCCGATAAATTGAGAAAAGCAAAAACGAAAAACAAAAAACATTTATGAAGGCGTCGAAATTTTATTAGATTCACTGCCGTTAAATGAACATGTACACACACGCACACCATCAAATATCTATATATAAATATCAGCGAGAACGCTGTGATTTTAAAGCTTTGTGCGTAGTTTTAAGGCAAAAAATAATTAAAAAACAACCAAAACTATATTGCGTTCAGCTTTGGCTTTGAGACAGCAAATAATGTTGTACACCACTGTCTACATTCGTGTTCTTTTTTTGCCGTTATATTGCCCGGTTCTTTGGTAGCTGCCCCGAGTAGCGACGTGCGCCAAAACGGATGATTCATCCATCGCCGTTGGCCACTACTATTGGCCATCTATTTCTTGACTGCCTGCCAAATGTGATGCTTTCGCGTTGCATACATGTTGTTGTTGCATGATTATCTCAGTGTTGCACGCAAATACTGAATTACCCTGTAAACAAAAGCGTGTCGAATGCAAAGAAGAAATGCCAAAACCATTTTTTTTTAATTGTTTGTTCTTTTTTTAAATCAATTTACTTTATTTCCGTTCAAAATTCTATGATATTGAAATTTTATTCGTTATTTGGTTGTTAATCATAATCTGTAGCGAATGCTTTCTTTTCGGACACACATAAATAACTTGAAAGAATTTCGCTTTGCGAAAATTTCTGTTCCCATCTGTGGGTGATTTCAATTTAGCAGCATACCTTAATGGTTTACGTATGTAATTAAGTGTTTTTATAATCATTTAAGTGAGGGAAAAGTAAAAATTCCAGTCTGCAAACGTCACGCATCCATCTATTTCGCTGCTGCTATGGAAGAATTCATTAGTTCTATATAAATATATACTATATACGTACATATATCTATATAGATATATTCAGCTAAAAATAGACTCTTCGCTTACGCTTTGCGTTAAATTTAGCTTCACAATGTTTATAAAAATAATTCATTAAAGTTGGTGCGGTATCTCAAAGAAAAAAAGTAAGCTTTGCAATGCTTCAGCGAAACTGAACTGAAATTGAAATTGATAAAAATAATAGCAGTGACCTAAGCATGTAAAATTAGTTACTTTCCTATATGGATGTTGCAATAAGTTTATTCTGGAACATGAATCACAAAAAATCTTTACTTGTCAGTATTTCACAACGGCAATTTTTAATAGAAGAATATTATTAATTTTTAAACCACCTCCAGCAAAATACGCTAAGAGGTTTGAGAGTGCCTGCCGAGGTGCAATTATTGTTTGAAAATATCCTTTCTAAAACATTTCATTTCTCATAATGTGAGAGTCACGTACTACAAGTAGACTGAGACGTCTGCGAACCAACTGAACAACCGACTTGGTGCTGTAGAACCCTGTTCTATTCTCGACTGCTGCACTCCATGAACAAAGTTCGCCAAATTTCGGTTCAGCATCCATTTTCTTGAGATCTAAGGAAACGAGAAAGTCGCAGGAAAAGTCCGTCGGAGAATACGGAACATGCGAATTCAATTCTGCGTTAAAATTATACAAGTTTTTCTTGGATTCTTGACTTTTTTTTTTTTTTTTTTTTTTTTTTTTTTTTTTTTTTTTTTTTTTTTTTTTTTTTTTTTTTTTTTTTTTTTTTTTTTTTTTTTTGTACACTCACTTCTGCAATCTCAAACGATCCATTATTATTAATGTTTTCGACCATAAAAGTCATGGCGCATGGACTATGTATTTCGTATATCGGCGTAGATTCGATTAAGAAAATTCTGTACCTGCAAATATGCAAAAAAACTCCTCCAAAAATTACAATAATATTAAGGTTTCGACATTGAACTTGTGTTTCTTCGCTCTTCACTCGCCTCATATATTTGTAACCTCAAAATTTTCTGCTCCTTTTGTCGCCACTGTCAACGTCATCTTTGTTATTCTTAAGTACTTTACGAGTCGTTTCTGTGATCGCTTTTACCAAACTCATCAGTCTCATCTTTATCATCTTTATCAGTGTCACTCACATTTTGATCAAACTCAGATTACATGCAATTTCAATCAAACGTTTTCTCTCCACTTTCCTCATACTGCTTCTGGACATACGAATGTACATGCATATGCGTTTTTTTGGACTTTATGCACATTTAGGCATCTGGACGCCCGGCACGCAAACACCCAACACATCCTTCACCAATTTGAATGACATACATCCGAAGGTCAGCACACCCACACCACCGCCACCACCACTTCCAGCACATGGTGTCGGGCAGACTGTTTGGACGCCACAGCCATCGCCGACTAGCGGTCGTAAAGAATTTCGTCCTGTGCGTTTCGAATCGCCAACACTGCCACGTCGTTACGTCGTTACGCCGCAAACCAACGACGGTACAGCTCAAATACTGCCACCGTGGCGGCAAAGCGCCACAACTACTGACGGTGATAGCTCCTATGCAGCGCCCTCACCACGCTCCACCTATAGTTACACGAATCTTAGTACGCCAACAACTACGATCGGCTCGGCAGGCAGCACGAACTACTGCGACTCCATACCGTCTGAATCGTCATTGCTGAATCACGTGGGCACCGGACCCAGTCAGAGTGTGGCGGATAAAATCAAAAGTATGGGTGGTTAAAATGTATCGCTATCACTTAACGGTTTCATTAAATGTTTTTGTCGTTGTTCTGCTGTTTTTCTGTGATTTCATTTCATATTTTGAGCATAAACAGTGAATTGTGCCTACGAAATCGTATCAAAACGAACAGATCATGCATATAACAGTGTTGTTTTTTTCTTTTGTGTTCGGCTGCATGTACGAAACTGTGATGTTTAGACTATTTGCATAAACAATATAGATACATACATTTGTTCAATTCTTTGAGGCTGAGTAACTTCTCGTCCAAAGTTGTTTTGATTAATTTGTATTGTAAATATTGTCTCGGGCACATTATAAAAAATTCTCTCATCTCTAACCACATAACATCTTTTCACACCCTCTACAGCGTTTGAAAGATCAGCCTCCACATCGGCATTATACTCGCCGGCGGCGCGACGCCGAAACGACACTGCTCAGCCATTTTACAAACCCAATGAAGTCAGTAAGTATAGCCATAGTATGAAGGTCCGAAGGCACGTCGAACTCCGTTATGTATGGTGTTCGACTGTGTACGTATTTTAAACTAACGATCACTTTCACGACCACACTTGCGCACTTTCCGGCGGCAAGGCAACTCTGTGTTTTACATTTTTATGATTTCTACTATTATTTGTGGGAAATTGTGTAATTTGAAAATCGTCGGTGGCACCGCTTTTATTCTTAAGAGAGATTTTTTGTGTAAGTTGCTAGGTATTAACACATGTCGAGAAGCAGAGAAAGTGTGTAAAAAGAGCATAAATTTCAAAGTGCAAAAAAAAATTAATTTTCTTTTTTTAAATATCAGAGAATTGTTTAAAAATAATTATGGTGTGTACGTTATATTTTTGCATGTAAAAATCATTTTTGTTATTGTAATTAAATGTCTAGTAATCTTACCAAATCTTATGTGTTTTTGAAAACTTTTTGTTGTGAACCAAAATACATACAAAACCCATTAAAATATGAACCAATAGTAACTACAACAACAACTCCTCACTCTATAATACTGAATTGCAGTTTTTAAAGTTAAACATGAATACATGAGCGAACCGGAAACGGAGCACGATCATCCAAGAAAAATGGCAGAATTGGGTCGACGACAGGTCGACGGCATCGGTCCGGTTACCAACGATGGAATGCCCATCATATTGAGATCGGTAAAAAGCGCAAATCATATACACATTACAAACACGTTTAATTAAGACAATTAGTGATTTATCGTATTGAAAAATTTCATATTTTAACACTTCACCACAAATACGAATTGATCCGAAATGAAACGATCGATGTCTAACGGCGTTAATGATATGTTGTTCTTCGGTCACGCGTCGCAGGAAGTGAAGGAGCCACATCAGCATGAATGGTATAAACGACTCTATCAGACGATACACAAGCAGAAGAGTGGCGGTAATGAATACTAATTATTTAATGATTCTAAAATATTTAATTTTAGTACAATGATTTTTAGTAAGTAAATGAGGTTTAAAGAAGTGTGGGATGGTTCGTAAAGAAAACTAATAAAAGAAATTAAGGGTTTACATAGGTTTCCTCGGGTAAAAAACAACCATTTTCAAAATTTTTTTTTCATACAGAATATTAGATATTTTATTAGAACTTTTTAATACCAAAAAATTTCTGAAATTTTTGGAAAAAAAATTTAAACTCGGCCATTGCGACGCCATTGGATTTTTGGCAAACATTTTTACAAAAAAATTTAAATTTCGTTGAATTGAAAAAAATCCTACATCTAAAGTCTTTGAAAATTTTATCTCAAAAACCTGTATAAAATTTTATGAAGATCAGTTGAGCAGTTCTCGAGAAATCTTCCCAGCAGTTTCGGGAAAAATGCGTTTAAAGACGACAAGCTTAGCCTGGCTAGTCTCGAGCGCCAAGTTCCCAAGGCTGTATCTCCGAAAGTATTACTCGGATCAACTTTATAATACCGGACAATATTTTGGTGTTGCAGAATTGAAAAACACAATAAAAAATATTAGATATTATAAAACCCGTAAACCCATGTAACCCCTGAAAGAGTGATGAGTTTTATGTCATTGTCAGTTAGGTATATGTAGAGAAGTGAAGAGAGGGGGTAAATCGGTTACAATTTTTCTCAGGTCTACAGTTCTCAGGAGAGCTCGTTGCTCTACAACGTTTCGCAGATGTTTTTATCCAAAAATTACCTGCAATCATCTCCCGTACCCGGGTTTCTTTCGATATATAGAAAATAAATTCAAAAGTATATACTTTGAATTAATTAAATAATTTTAGAAGTATAAATTATTAAATACAGATTATAAAAACTGGTAAATAGATCTTCCATCTCCCCAATATATTTACCCATAGTATATACAAATATGTNTTGTTTTTTGGTTTTTGAAAAAGACCGGAGCCTACGTTCAAAATTATCTAGATTTCTCTATTACGAGATCTTGTGAATGATCTACGGGATTTTATTAGGATTAGTTAAAGGCAAAAATACGGACAAATTTTGGCTCAGTTCATCGGAATCAATCTCATAGCAACCAACAGTTTCAGAGGCCGACGTTTCCGAAAGATACTAGTTTTGAACAGCGACTTTAATTTTCTTGAAATATTTCAGTAAGGAACACTAGGGTGGTTTAACTAATGCATATAAAAATAATATGTAGAGACTGCTCTCTTCTTCCAAGCCATGTGAACATTACAGTATCAAAATCTGAGCAGTTATCTTCTACCTCCACATAAAAAACTCAGTGAATTGGTAAATCAAAGCTACCGRAAAATTTATTGCGATTCAAGATGGGAATCACTCTGCTAATACATATGACCACACTTTTATTTTCCTCCTACATTTATACTGTAATTGAGCTCTACGTGACGAATTTGATTTTGTGCTGTCACAAACCCAATTTTTTTAATTAATCGACCGGCACTAATTTATAGTGAATGAAGAAATTGTGCAAAAAATTTATTGGCGCGCCATATTTAGTAGCATGTCCGCTCGTTTGACGGAAATTGAAATAACTAGCGTACATACATGAGCACATACCAAATGAAAACGTATGTTTGTGCAAAGAAAAGATTTAGTGAAAAGCGTAGCAAAATAGACAGTAACCATATAAATAACGCAATCAGTGATAGAAATTAGAGAAATCTTAATTGCCTTAGAAGAAAATTAACGGAATATTTTTGTTTTATGTTTTTTGAAATGAAATAAAAAAGTAGCAATTTTTTTTTTAACTTAAGCTCTTGAATAACTGGGAACATGGAATAAGTTATATTATATTATATAAATACCTAAGATGAATTAAAGAATAATTCCAGCCTTTTAACCACTACTATATAAGTTATAACATTTACTATCCCTTCTTTATTGAATTCCGACTCACTCTTTATACGCGTTACGCTTTCGGCTTTTAAAATGCTTTCCCGCGTTTATACCATTCCCCGTTTTAATGCTCACGCCACACCACGTCGGCAATGCCGCTCCGCAACTCATCGCAACGCAACTGCAACGCGCCTCTACTCGCTCCCACAACTACAACACTCACAGATGATTACGTGATTCGCTACAAATGTCAAAGAGGTGATGATTTTTACGTTTACTTTTTAACAACAAGAAAAAATAGTAAAATGTAGAAATAGTTGTAAAAATTGTAAACGCGTCCATTGGACTATACGCTTCATTCGATATTTATAAAGCCTTAGACGTACATTAATAGAACGCTTGTCTTGAATGCTTGAAATGCTTTATTATAATTTTGTTATATCTCATTTTCCAATTGTATGTATATATGAGAGGTATAACCAAGAGGGTTAACATTATTACCCATGAACTGTTTTACTTTGCATAATGTTCCGAAAACCTACTAAAATAAAAATATTGAATAAATAGTTGCATGCCTGATTCCTTGGGAATTGTTCCGGGCGTATTATTTAAAAGCAATTTGCCACACCTAGCAATAAGCATCAGCACTGCCTTGACATATTATTAACAACAATAACAATTCTAATAACAAACACTTTTTATTATAAGTATAACACCGCACTAAATGACCCTTAACCGAGTGGTGGTCTTGGGTTCTCACTGGTATTTGTTACGCCGCTAATGCACCAAAATTTTACTAAAAACTCGCTACACGAAATATAACAGAAAATTAAACAAGTAATACAATAAAGAATTAAATGTAGTTAATAATCAAAATTATATCACATTTTCTTAAATAATATTTTCGCATTTTGCAACAGCTCGTCCACAATTGAAGACGACTGGCTACCAATCAGAGCCCGAGCCCAATTACGATTCCGACTACTCCACAGTAAAGTATCGAACATTAGATCGCCGACGTTTGCAATCGGTCTCATCGGCCACGAACGTTGCGAATCGCCACACAAACACATACCAGGACGATAAGTAAGTAATGTAGAATTAAACTGGCAGATAATTGTATAATTGAAAATTGATAGAATATACTTGTAGATGATAAAATAGGTAGATAATAGATACCCTGTCACTAAAAATTGAAAATATTTTCAAAGTTTGGGTTAGGTAAATAGGTGATATTTGTGATTCCACGAATTATTCCACTTGGACAGTTAGGGACCCCTATCCGTTGTGATGCCCAGCGTGATTCGAGATTGTCATTAATTTATTGAGGCGGCTAATATCAGCCGACTGGCAGGTGTCCTAGAAAGTATGACAACCGAGATACTTCAACTTTAATTGGACAGTGGAGGAGAAAGTGTCTAACTTGTTTTCATCTCATCATCCTGTAACTTTGGCAAATTTAACAAATTGCGCCCTCTAAAATCTTTAGTCTCACCACTTAAGAGTCAAAGAGAAAGTGTACAATTAGGGCAATGATGGTGGTGTATTTTACATTCTGGCTTGACCACGGCCAAAGTACAACTTTTGATGAGAGACTCCGCTGATTCGCAACACCTACTATAAGACAAGCAATTATTTACTGTCCCTTTCCTGGGCTTCCATGATAGTCTTCCAACAATAATTAATCCAAGTACTTCACCTTTTCGACAGAATGAAGTCGAGGGCCTCCTAATGAGAGAGAGAGAATTTAAAAGCAGTCCAGTTTTATTTGGAATAGCAACCAAGTCGCTTCTCTCCGTCTAGTTGCCTACGACATTAAGGTACCATTTGGTTAATTGGTAAACGGTATCTAGGAATTTTCACTCAGCACTTGAGAGCAGCATAATCTCGAAAGCTATCACATTACAGCCTCGTCCTTCAGACCAAATACAGAGTAAAGGAGACAGAACCCCATTATGCAGGGTTCAGCTGTTGACCTTTTCTATGTTAGTGCACGCGCTCAACACCATACCGCTACGGATACGACAGTTCTGTCTCAGAGAAGACAATATATGAAATGCGGTAGGTTTGGTTTCGACCTCAAATTATTCCAGAGTTCTAATGGCCGCAAAGTAAGGCACGGCTACAGATCACTACACCATATCGCTACCATTCAAACTGACCCCTCAATCAAGATAAAGATCTTATGACCAATTTAGCCTAGCTGAATTGCCCATCTTCGGTGCAACTGAAGTTAACTGTTCTGCTTGTTTTAATTTCAAAACTATAAATATCAATTTTTTCAATTCTTCAGAATCCGTTTCACAAACATTTCATGTGCTATAATATTTTCAGATTATATGGTACTATGCCAAATCCGATTAAATCGGAACAAAACCAGTACAAAAATCAACCTGGACGCATTGAAGACTACGTAACAGGACGTTCATCGGTCTCAGAGAAGGAACGCAAAGAGGTATAAATATAAGAAGCAAACAACTCGAATGCATAGTTGCAAAGAGAAAAAAATCCAAACTCATTGAAATACAAAAAAAAACAAATATTCAACAGCAATTATCAATTCAACCAGGTTAATGCAAAGCAATGCAATCTAATTGCTGCGAATAATCACCACTTTAAAGCCACACACACACACAGTACACTACGTACTTACATTTGCATTCTACGTTATTCACTTTCACTTGCCGTTAGCACTCGAATACTTATGCGATTATCATACGATTACGCACATATTCACACCAACACCTACGCTCAGTTATTAACTCTTTGAACCACATATATACTTACATACGTACATACCATTAAACGTGTTTCTATTTGCATAACAGTTATTTATAACGTTAATATTATTTACCTTGTCCGTGAATTTCGATTACGTCGCCGTACAATACTTGTACGTGTACAACAGTGCTTATCATGTTTCCAGCTGATTATCGTCAAGGTTTCTGCAGTCGAAAACAGCAACAACAAATCTACATTCATACATAGTCTTATATAGCATATAAACTTTTGTATTGTAATGCAGCTATTTTTGTGTTTTTAATTTTTTATTTATTATTTCATTTAACTGAATCTATTTTATTCCACGTTTTCTAGTGGTGGGACGAAGTGATGGACATCTTTAATGGGGTATGCATCACCTTTTTGATTAAACTTTAACTATTATTTGATACGAGTATAAAGATTGATAAACATGAGTTATGATGATATGATTGAAAAGCCATAAATTGATATGAATAAAGTTTAGTTTAGTGTTAATATGGTTGTGGGAATACGCTTTAATTGGTTACGAGGCCATTGAAGGCTGAACACAGGGTGGTTTATTATACTCGGTTATAAAACCTAATAATTATTAAACCTGGATTTTAATAATGGTCGTCCGCAAAAACAAAAAACTGTTCAATCGATTCCATAAGATTCTCTTTAGACCAATCTTTTCATGTGCAAAATCATTCGCGTTAGTCAAGAACAGGTTAGTAACAGTTAGGGAGATCGCTCGAAAACAGGTATACACTATAAGACGAATCAATAAGTACATCCCTACCAAGCTTTCGGAGCTGCTGGCGAGTCATTATCAATATGTGTGGACTGACGTTGCCCTGATGGAAAACCTTTCCTCTCCATTTGGCCAAATATGGCCGCTTTTGGGCAATTGTTGGCTTCAAATGGTTTAATTTTTGCGAGAACAAGTCCGAATTAAGACTTTGGCTATAGGTCAGCAACTCATAGTAAAAGCCAATCTCACGAATTACACAATAAATTTTCCTGCCTGCCGTTTGCTCACCGCGTTTCGACCAAGAACGTTTTCACTAGAGATTATAGTAATTGATCCACTTTTCATAGCTAGTAACCATCGGTTTCAGAAATATATCGATTTTTCCGGAAATTTGGTCCATGAGGTTTTTTGCACCCATCAATCGAGCTCTTTGTTATACTCGTACCCAACCTTATTTAAGAAGTTACATCGGTTTCCTCGGCCTTTTTGGTTAGAACTTGAACGAAAGAAAATAGTTCTCAAATAGTTATAATCGAAAAACTAATTCATCCAAGAATTGTATTTCAAAGACCTGTATAAAATTTCATGAAGATCGGTTGAGTAGTTCTCAAGAAATTTTGCCAACCGACTTCAAAAACATAGCTTCGAGAAAAACGCGTCCAAAGATGGCGCACTTAGCCTAGCTAGCCTCAAGCTCACAAGCTCTAAAGGTTGTATCTCCAAAACTATTGCATCAATTTGAAAATTTAGGAAAATATTCTAGAAGTTTTGTAGAATTTAATAAGATAAAAAATAAATATTCGTTTAAATAATAAATAAATAATAATGTTTAGTTCATCGGTAATCGAAATAATGATTACATGTTGGCCGTACTCAATGTTTTCTATTATTTTATCGATGTTTTCGAAGATGGTAATCGACGAATGCAAAATTGTACATGATTGACTTCTATTTAATTAGAACCATAAACACTATTCACAGTTTCAGCCGACTAGCTGAAAAGCTATAAATTTTTGTGTTGCAGGATAGGTTAGGTTATGCTAGATGGCTGATCAAACATCGCTCGTGGATGCATCGGGCGTCTTTTCTGAGGCAATAGAAAAGAAGAACTCCTGTGTTCGAACTTATAAATTAGCAAAACGCTTAGGAGCCAATACAAATTTGCACAGTCATTTAGTGTTCATTCCCAAAACGCGGGACAGTCTTCTTCGAGGTAGTAATAGGTGCCTTATATTTGAAAACCCATAATATTATCAATTATTTAGGTAATTACTTTCCCTTTTATAGAGAGAAACGTACTTTTACAGCCTCTTTTGTCGCCAATATTTTTTTAGCTGGAACTTTTTCAAGATTCTAAAAATATTCCCGTTTAGTAATTAAGTGTAAAATATATATATTTCTTTCTACTGAAATCATCCATTTACAATAAATCTTGCTTCACTAATATTTTCTGTTTCGAAATAATTCTATATCTGGAATTCACTAACTTGTTAAGTGGTTAAGGGAGCATCGTGTAATTCCGCGTATATTCATCGAATTCGCCGATGATGTCAACGTAAGTTCACAACAACTTCATGTGCACTTAATAACTTACTATGGGAGTCACGTGTGCATTATATATGGAGCACCCAGAAACTCGTATTACTTAGCGTAGAAAGCACTGCACAGAATGCGCATTTTATAGACCTTTAATAAAAGCTTAGATAGAAAAACACATAATTGTCATCTCACCAAGATATTTTTCAAGTAGTGGACAAGGCACCTACACTTTGTCGGGTTGACACTGCGAATTGTACGATAGAAATAATCGACACCACTATTTCGTTTATTATGCTTGTGAGCAATTTTTTAGTTTCGCTTTAGTTTATTTTAATTTTTTTATTATTTATTTTTATTTATTATTATTTTTAAGTTAAGTTTTTGAACTATATTACTACGAATAAAAGCTTTTTAAGTTTGTGATGTGATGCTTGAATTAATTATATTCACTAAAGTTCTTTAAAAATCATATGCAAAAAGCAAAAAAAAAAAATTGAATCAGTTTTTGAGATTTTTTTTTATCGCACAAAGTCTACAGCCTAAATTTTAGACCGATAGTCCAGACCTGTTGCTGACAATTCATCGCCCAAACTTAAAAAGCTTAAACATATTTTTTATAAGCATATTTATAATCAAATTCTTGTTAACAAAAATACATTTTTGTAAAGCAATCGACGCATTAAAATTTTCACCTTGACCATATGATAACATATGTATTCTCTTCTCACTTTTGAACACACTCCGTTAACTAACAGCACTTGGAACAAACAAAGCTCTCGCCACACTATACTGAAGGAAATCTTTCCAGGTAAACCTCGCTAGCAGCCATATGAAGTATATTTAAATTGATCTAATTTTTTACAATACTTTTGTAGAGCCTTAGCCAAAGAGTCTGGTTACGCGAGTGATTCAAATTTGGTGTTCCGCAAGCGTGACGTGCCACAAGCCAGCCCACTTAGCCCGGTCGAACAGAAGCAGGCTTATAAGAGCGTGCAAGCGGGTGGCGAACCACCTTTATTCGGGTTTAGGAAGCCAGCACCGGAAAGACCAAAAGGTGAGCCCAAAAGCAATAAAATTTCAGTCGTAAAAGCACAAAGATTTTGTTATCGAAAGCATAAAGTATTTTGTAGATTTTGTTTTTCAAAGTATTAATATTGTATAATTGTTGATGCTAACACTGGGTACGAGTACAAGGTTACCTGCATACTAAAACCGTTTTTAAATGTTTACAATTACTTTATCATATGGTTCTAGAGAAACACAGTAGCGAACACACCAAAATTCACGAAAAGCAATTATCTCAACTCCTAGGTTAAAACCGGTGTGGTCTCAAGTGTAACTGATCCCAAATAAAGTCTAAAAACTATTAACCGTAATTAAGTATAAATACCATTAAGTTAAATTGTAAATTAGCAACAACTCACAAATATAAACGCTCAACAAGCGCCTTGAAAAAAGTTCGCGCACAAAAAGTTATTTCTTTACCACGGAATCGCACCGCACCGTTTGGAAAGCAACTCACAAAGTATTGCCACACTAACGGCTACCGCAACAAATTCTAATATACTATATACATTTAAATTATTCCATTTTTGTAAACGTCAAAAGAAATCCTCGACTACACACAAATCTCGCCAACATTGACAAGAATTCGCGTGATCTCGGCAGCACCAGCGAGCGATAATACTGCCAGCAACCAATTGAAATCTAGCCAAGTCACAAACCTACAAGCGACTCCTCCGCAATTGACGCATATTAAAGTTCACCACCAAGCGAAAATGTTCACGCCGTCATTCATACCGCTCGACGGCAAGCGTGCCTCTAGTACAGGCGGTGCTTCACCACCACAACCGCCGAATCGTAAGTCGTCGTGTCGAAAAGTGACTGCAAAGGCGTCCCCAGCGCGTCCACCGAAGCCAACACCTGTAATACCGAAACGTCATGAACAATGTTTTCAAAGCCCCGAAGAAACTGTATTGGGCGCCAACAAATATGCAACAATTACACTGCGCAAACATGGGCGCGTTAATGGCGCCATTTGTCGCTCAAAATCTGCCGGCGCTGTTTCAACGCTGTTGGCGGCTACGAAGAGTAGCACTGAAACGCCAGCAGCACCGAGAGCGCTCAGCATTTGTCGCGATGATGCAAACGGTCCTGATGGCATGAAGCTCAAACGTGTACAACAACATATGCGCTTTCGTTCGATTAGTCCCACACGTTCGCAAAGTCGCGTGGCGACGTTACGGCAATCGAGTCGCAGTCCGGTTGCTTTCGGGCGTTCGATATCGAAAGAGCGTACATTTGCCGAAGAAAAGAAACGTTTGGAGAATACTCTGCCGACTGCGTTGACAAATTTCGAAGCTAGTACTAATATTTTACGCGATCCGTCTCTCAAATCACCGCAAGAGGTAAAACAAGCCGTGCGCTCATATGCCACATGTGTGGCACATCTGCGTAGTAAGTCACTACCACGCCTTAGAGAAGAAGTAAAGAAGACGGAGAACTCCAGTGTTAGCACCACAGTACGTCATTCAATGTGCTTTCCACAAGCCAAAATATTTGATTGTGCCAAAGCAATGCGTAAATCATTGACACGTTCAAAGAGTCCACGCCCGAAAACGGTCTCTACGGTCAGTCTAGCACGCACCGACTCCACCTTCTCGATAGAATCCACAACACCAAAAAACGTGAGTAGAACTAATCTTGTGGTTACGAAACGTATTGCGCCGCCCAAGTCTAAGCCTGAAAGCAAGCCCATTAAAAAAAAATCGGTAACCCAACAAAATGGTAAACGAGTTTCGACTTCGGCGAAAGGAAACACAATACCCAAGACGGTGAAAATGCGTAGCTCATTAAAAACGCAAACTTCGCCTACAGCCACCACTTATAGGCGCGCGGAAGACTCGCATACCATACCACGCAGCGGCTATCAATCAATAACGCTACATCAATCACGTAGTCTCAGTCCAAAGCGTTACTACCACCTGGAGGAGTATAACGCCAGATTAGACGATTACGATGTAGTGGATCGTAGTTATGTAGATGATTTGCTTTGGCAATACGAACGCAGTACTGCAAAACGCTACCCACAACAGGCTTTACGAGCTGAGTCAACTGCCAGAGATATCGCACGTCCCGAATCTCCTACACCGAGTTTGAAACATAGAAAGTTTTCCCCTACTCGTGAAGTGCGTGTACCACAAGAGCTCAGAAGTTTGCAAGTTTCGTACAACAAAACCGAGTCACCGACATTGGACACAGATGTGGCTCAAACTCTCAAACGCACCAGTAGGTTTTCTCCAACACGTGAAGTACGTCTGCCAAACTTGCCTCCGAGCCTGCAACCAGTAATTCCACGTTCGAAATCTGCACGAACAGTGCGTGATATCGCACGGCCGGAATCACCGGCTATTGCAGCTAATGCACGACGATTCTCACCCACACGCGAGATACGTGTGCCACAGCCCCCTCAAAGTTTACCTCCTCCATTGCCACCAGTTTCTTCAGCACACGCAGTATGCGTAAAATCTCCGTCAAGAGACGCGAACTCCACTTCGCGAAAGTTTTCGCCTACACGCGAGATACGCGTACCACCACAACAGAGTACACGCAGCGTACGTTCGCCCTCGCGACGTCGCATAGACACTTATCGTGCTAGCACCGCAAAGTCTACAGATAAGAACGATGGTGGTAAAGTGATTAGAGCCAGCAGTTTGAGCAGCGCCGATGATCGTAATAAACGGGGCCTCTATCTTTGTGGTGAGTTGGCGCATAGCGCTACTTCGCTCGAACATTATGAGCGGCATAGTCCCACATGTCGCTATCGCAATAATTCCGAACGTTTCACGGAGTTGAATCGGTTCTACAGCACTCTAGAGCGGGTCGGTCAATTAGAGCGTGCTACTTCGTTATCATCGTTTAAGCCTATACGACGAGAGGGCGAACCGTTAGATTTTGATGAGTGGCGTAAGATAAGACATCATGAACGAGCCGAGAAGGAGTTAAACTATTTGGTAGGTAAACTAAAACACGAGCAACGTACAAAGGATTTCGTTTTTCGCCCAAAAGACGTGGAGGATGTGAAATGGCGTCAAGATACAGATTTTGGCTTGCACTCAAAAGATAAATCTGTAGAAGACTTACGATATACTTTCGAACAAAAGAATATTTTCGCAGATTATGAACAAAAATTGCGTCAAGAATTTGATGGATCAAGAGATATTGTGCGACCATACTGGCGCCGAAACACTGTAGCAGATTTGGCTTCTAGTTTGGAAGGCAAAATCCAGCCATATTGTGTAGTCGATCACATGCCAGCAACAGCAGAGCCTGAAGAGCTCGCAAAATGTCAGCTAAACAGTCGTCTCGTAAGCACGCTCTCCAAAAATCAGATATTAAAGATTACGCAGCAATTAAATGAAATATATTCGAACAACACGCTTGCCTCTTCGGAAGATTATGTGATTACTGTGGATGAGGATGCTAAGAGACGGGCTGCCCTACCGGGTGCACTCCAAGTGCGATGTAACTCTACATTGACGAAAGAGGAACTTTTAAAACCCACGATTAGCAAAAAATTGGCGAAGGAAATCACAATTAGCAAAGAGTACAACAAAGGTAAGGCCACAAAAGAATCTACTTCGATAGAACCTGCCGTTAAAAGCGCACGTAGCAGCTCGCCAGTATATTTGGCACGTGAAACACGTGGTGCTGCTGCCGCAAAAAACGCTGAAGCTTTTATGACAAAACAACCGCCAGTACCAGAACAACCGCAATGTATAAAATTTGATAAGAAAACCACGGAACATCGCGAGCATGCAAAAGTGGCAACTGAAGAAACCAGACCATTTAGGAGCCATGTGCACTCTGAACAACCCGAGAGGGATGTTGAAAGCGAGCAAAATAAGCAATGTGAACCGTCGCCGAGTGGAAAGGAACCGAAGGAAAAAATAACACAGAAGATACAATATTTTGAGGAACGTCAATATGATGAGCCACCAAAGACAATTTATCATGCACGCGAAGACTCTTCCCCCGACGAAGCCGAAGTAATGAAGGTAATTGAGGAAAATATCAAATCGCGTGCACACAAAGGAACTCCAACACCAGCACTGCATCATCATAAGGAGCTTAGTCACTCTTTAACCGATCTGAAGGAGATTTTTGGCGAACGCCACACAGCACGTGTAAATTTTCACATGCATTCACCACCCGAGCGGCCACCCGACGTCGGCAGCGTCTCTCAGCCCATGAGTCCAGTGCGTGATTGTATGGACGTGACAGAAGACGCTTGGTATGATTTAGGCGAGTTCACGCCAAACAGTAGCGCTGAGCAGTTGAATGTACACTATCGCTCGCGTAGTATTTCTCCCGTCTCACAGGCCTCATCTTCTTACCTATGTCGCGTGCACACTGGCGACGTACGTAAAATGAAGGAGCGCTTCGAAAGTTTTGGTGCATACGATGATAGTCGGTGTCATTTTTTTGGGGTTAGTACGCTGAGAAAGGTGCGCAGCGATCCTGAATTGAAGCAATTCAATGCAGTTTCAAAAGACGCCTTAAAGATGGAGACCACAAATGAAGAATACGGTGATGTACAAGCGCTGGCGCACAAATTCGAACAACGCAGTCAAAGCATGCGCGTACGCAACGGAAGTGGACGTGGACGTACACCATACCGACGTGTAATCTCGCCGATAGGTGTAAGAGATCGACTTATGCCGCATATCGATATAATAAGTAAAACAGCGGCGCTAAAAGAGAACAAGCAGGCAACTGCACAGCAGCGTCTAGTAAAAGTGACACCCGAACGTAGCTTTGTCGTTGAAAAAATACGTAGTCAATACGAACGTAGCTTATCACCGCCAATAGACGTGTGTAAATCGCGCTCAAGCCCGGACATACCACAAGCAGCAGCTATTTCACCTCATCTTTCGGCAGACTGGACTGCACACAAGTATCCAAGTCCCACACAAAATGCATTTAGAGGAAATGGAATTGCAAAACCGTTAAATAGAGAACGCACTTCGGTACGTATAGCGAAAATTTTACGAAGGCTGCCGCCAAGGTCGAGTTCGGCTTCGCCGCCGAGACCACCGAAAGCCCAGCAACATGCTCGTGACACTTCGCTGCGGAGAATGCATCGTAGTGATATATTTGCAAATCAGCAATTCGATCCGAAGAAGCATCAGCCGAAAGCACGCTATGTGCCAGACGGCGCCGAGGCAAGTGAGCGGAAGCGTGCCTCTTCGCATCCACGTTGCGGCGGCAGTTGTGACATACTCAAGAGTGCGATGGCGGTATCATTTCAAGGTTTTTAAAATATAAATTTACAGAATATGCACAAATTTATGATGATTCTTACAAAGCGCACAATAATTAATTTGATTTACAGAACTATCGACCTATACAACGATTCCTCAATAGTTATGATTGGATTGTTAGCAGTTGAAGAAGCATATTCTTTTCATAGTATTTAATACTGACACCCAAGGTTTGGGCTCATACCATTCCCTCGCTTATATATATATTTTTAAGGACTTGCATGTGTACTTATAAAAAATAAGTTCCCTATAATTATTTTTTGTATTTAAGATCATATAATATTTTCTCGATACCTCGTGCCATTATTACAAATCCATTTTCTCAGTAGTTAGCTGCTCTTTATCTTTAACTTACAAAATATTCGTATACGCTTCGGTATTTGTGTCAGAGTCATTACATTATGGTTGACTTGATTCGCTGGGTTATATACCGTTTTTTGCTGCTTTCGGCTTCATAGCTTACGCGTTTTCACGCCCTCTCCTTATCTATATCTCTATTAACATCTTCAAATTTTAAATGTCCTTTTTCATGTCCGTTTGGTACGTTCTAAACACGTTATCGTAGATGACGGTAACGATCCACCAGTCCCACCAAAACCTAGTGGATATCGCGCAGGTGAGTTGTTACATATATCTGATATTCTTAGAAGATTTAAGGGATGACGGGATACTCGTTACTTAATATATACTATATATTAAACCACATTCATTTCACTAAACATTGAAGTGTGGCTAATCGAACAAACAACTGGTATAAATAGGATACGTATACTCCAATAAAATAAAGATAAAATAGCAAGGAACTTTAGATTACGAATTTTTCTGCAATCGTATATTGTATTTTGAGTTTACTGAAATCATTTTATTTTTACTTTTGCCTATCAAATGTTCAACAAGATAGCGCAACTTAAAGGTAGCAATCAGAGCAGGACGAATCGAACACGGTTTAGTGACAGAAAACTCATAGACTAGATTTTGTTTAAAATAGAAAGGTAATCGACATTCCAAAGAGAATAAATGGTGGTAAAAATTTAAATGAATTATATACAAGTCTAGAAAGAATATACGGATGTAATGCTACAAATTGAAAGCTAATTTCACCCCAAGATCTTGTTCAAATGATTATTCATTCCTAAGAAGAATAGACTTATAAAGCTGGTGATCATTTCTACCTCTCACACCATAGTCTGTAAGCATGACCGCAAGACGTTGTTATAGATTTAAGTCTAAATATTTGTGAAAAATACGTGCTAAAGATATTCTGAGCGCTTTAAGATGCTAGACTGCTTTAGAGGTTACTAACGAGTGGATTTTTTACACGTCAATGATACAAGTGAGCGAAACTTACCTCTTATTAGTCGTCTATACACCTTTGTTAATGATGAGAACATCGAAAAAGTTAAAGAAACAGTTTAAACAAACCGTGGTGATGGCATCAGAGAGATAGCATTAAAACTCTTTTTGGCTGTCAACGATTTTTTAGTATCTGAAAAATCTATTTCGTAAAGCACCATGAGTTCATTGGCCCAATAATACAAAATTCCCTGTACACACTGGATAGTCCCTTTGCTATATTGCAGTCATTCTTCCTTTTCGCTGTTTGGCGTCAATTGGAGATTCCAAGTGTAGCCAGGTCCTTCCTCCGGTGAGTACTGGGTCGAATAATCTCAGAGCTGGAGTGTTTTCATCGTTCCATCGACTGCGGTATTCGCGTTCCCAATGCGCAAAGACCATGAATTTTCTGCAGAACCTGTCTCTCGAAAACTCGTAGCGCCGATTTATCAGATGTTGTCATCGTCCTTGTCTCAGCACCATGTAGCAGGACAGGGATGATGAGTGACTTGTAGAGTTTGGTCTTTGTTCGTAGAGAGCGGACTTTATTTCTCAATTGCCTACTCAGTACGAAATAAGATTCGAAATATGATTCGGATATAGCGGTAGTTCCTTTTCGTGCGGCGGCTTTAAAATCGACGAAGAGGAGGTGTGTGTCGATGTTCCTTTCAGGGGTCTTTTCCAAGATATGGCGCATATTGAAATTACAACCAGACATAATAATCATAAAATACTCCCAAAGTTGCGGATAAGCCCCTCAAATACTGTTCCACTGTAAAATTAGAAACAACATTTGCTTTAATTTTCTCTCACCTCCCACTGCAGCTCTGCATTACAAAAAAAATAATAATAACAACAAATAATCATTTGTTTACATTTCTTATGCGTACACAGCACTTACAAAGTCCGCTGCTCTTTCTACCGCAGACAAGCTACAAGCTCAATAGGCCATTGACACACCCTTTAAGAAACACGCTGTCGACATTAAGATTATGAAAAGCAAAGTGAAAAGAAAATGAAACCAAAAACTAATAATAAAAGGAATATTTCCTTTTGACCGCAAAAAAGATAATTCGCGCACACGAAGGCGAAGGCAAGTGCAAAGCTCAAGCAAAACAAACAACAAATCGAAGACGCTTAACGCTAAAAGCCGTTTCCGTCGCCGGTCTACAACTGCGCACTACTTAGCAAGTACAGGCTGAGAAGGTTAGCGAATTGCTGGGTGCAGCACCGTCAAAAGACTAATTTCCTTCATTTCGTTTAGTTTTTCTTAGCATTTTCATGTTCTTTTTCACTTGCGCACCGTTACACCTGTTCGGTGGTGTATTGTTGTTGTTGCTCAAGAATTAAAATCAATACTACCAATAGTGCTTTGTGACCTCCTTAGCTTGGCCAGTGCGCTGCAGTACGCAGACTATTAGTTAGTTAGCCAAGTTAGTACGTAGTTGGTGGCAGAAAACCTCGCAACGTCAAATCCAGTATGGTGGCGTTGGTAGCTACAGTGATGGCGGTGGTGGTTTTCGGGGGGTTGCCCTCATACAAATGTGCAAAGCGTTGCCATGGCCGGTGCTAACAACAGTCATAACAAAACAACAATAACAACAATGGGCAGAGCAATCATGCAGCGCTCAATGTTAGTATCGAGTGCCCTTCCACAAGGCAATCAAGTTAGCCAGCCAGCGGCAACAGACCACCAGACTAAGAGGCTAGTAGTAAACAGGCTTAGCTGGCGCATTGGATACTCACGTTGTACCACCAAGGTAGACAAGTTGGTCAGTCGGCGTTGAGCCGCTGCTTTTTCCGCAAGTCTATCAGAAATTAGACGCGTGCTCCGCGTGCAACACCGTGTCCAATCGGTGAAAGAAATACAAATCGATTTTTTATAAATAAAGCGCGTAGATAATAAATGAGCAGCAAATAGTGAGCTAATAATAAAATCGAAAATGAAAGTGAATAGTGAATTGTGAGAGAATTAAAGTGGATTAGTGCGTCTGTCAGTCCGTCACCACACATGCAGTGCCATAACGAAACTACGCGTCCGCTAACGCAATACACGCGCATCGGTAAATTTTCCTATCAAGCGACGCAAAATGGTTTACCCTTGCCGCCCAGCACAGTGGCCACAAATCGCAGATACCATTTGAATGCGGAACAACCGCAACATTATGGTCGCACCACCAACTTGACCAACCACATCAGCAACACGCCCGCCATACCAACCTCAACAACGCCGAGTCGCTTGCATCAGAGTTGTCATGATTTACGTGCATTGCAAGAGCCGCTCACCGCTGCGCCGCGTGCATTAGCCGGTATAGTGCCGGCGTTCCAACGCCTTGAGACACCTGTCGGCGCCAGCAACAATGCAACAACTGATGGCAGTGCAACGCTTGCAACACACCGCTGGTCGCGCCAACGCTCCAGCGACTCCTGCAATATTGCCAATTGCGGTAAAATACTGTGGGTGAGTCGCGAGACAGTCGGCGTGCCAGTGGACAATGAGTATGAGGCAGCGCGCACGTTTGCCGCTAGTAAAGGTTATTACTATGATCGCGAGCAAAACGTGCGTATACGCACCAATGCCAAGGGGCTGCCTTATACGCCGTTGCCGGAGCGCAAACAGGACTTCCTTGCCAATCAGCGCGCCATTGAGGCGGTAGTGCCGTTGGTGTTCAACAGGCGCCATCAGTCGAGTTAGTATCCTACTGTCCTATTTTCATATATACAAATGTGTGTGGTGGAAAAGAAATTTGCATAGGGGAATATTTTTAAGTGAAAAGTATGTCAATGCAGCTAAGGCGGATTCAAATTTATGGCTACAGCAGTGACTAAAATAGATTTAGTTTGCTGAAAATGTAGGCCGAAAGGTTTTAGACCTTCTATATATACATAGAAGTTTATTAATAGGTAAAAAAAGTAATGGGTAAACTATAGTGAAAAGGTAGTCATTTACACATATGACAAGAAATACTATCAACTTCGGTTGCACCGAAACTATAATACCCTTCATAAATAAAAATGTTTTCCATACAAGAAATCGATTATGTTTAGTCATTATAGTGAAATAAAAGTATTTTCCTTGTATGTACCAGATCAATTAATTTGTATGGGAGCTATGTAAATTTTAATCATATCCCCAAAACTGAGCGACTAGTTTGTCATATACAAACGGACAGACGGAAAAAAATTACTAAATCGACTCAGCTCGTCATTCAGAACATGTATGTATAAAGAAAAAGCACCGAAACTTCAAATTTAATGGGGAACGTTTATTATTATATTCCTTCACATTTATTTTTTGAAGATTATCTCTTTCAAATATTGTCTCAGATGGTCCATCCGTTAAGTCCACTTTACGTTGACTCGTTCGAGTAATTCGACTAGTAACTGGCAAATGGCACGTGGTATGTTTTGCTCCCAGGCCTGAATCGAAGCGAAAGTCTAACGGTGCGATATCATGCGATCTTTATAGAGTCTCCGGTGACTCCTTCTGGGTGCCATAAACTTCGTCGCAAATTATTTATTCTCTATTTGGGGTTTAAAAACACATAAGTAACTTTATACACCATGTGCTGATTATAATAATAGGGGTGCTATTATAATATATAGTATATGATGATGGACCTTTGAACACATATACATAAATCCGTCTAGATTCCAATAATGTATTTCACGCAGGATCAATTAATGATTTTGGAAATAATCCAAAAAACTATTAAATTAGGTCAGATTCAAATCTAGATACCTCTGTATATATTATTTTTAGCTATAGAATGTAAATAAGAAAAAGTGATCTGAGTCGATTACAAGTTATAGTTAAATATCCAAAATTCCGCCTCACTATCTGTATCTGTGATTAGAATATATCTGTAAGATATATATTGTGACAAAAAAGTACCCGGAAATTGTAAATAATTATTCATTAATATTTCTTTTATCCCCTTTAAAATAATTTCCACTGGATTTAATACACTTAAGCCAACGATTTTTCCAGTCCTCAAAACACTTTTCATATGCACTCCTTGGGATGGTGTCTCTTCGATCGACTGAAAACGAGTTACACAAAATGGCAATTTCAATTTGGGGAACAAGAAAAAATCACAGCGAAATCTTCTAAAAAATCAACACGCTTCAATAATTTTATTTCACAGTCCATTATGAACTAATATTCATTTCTCTAATGGAAAACCAAACAGCTTTGAATAAATTGTGACTCGAATTTAAAGAATTGCTTTTAAGGTCATTATGTACAGCATACATCCATACACACTTTATTCCTCTTCAGAC